TCCACACCAGCGTCATTCAGCTTTTGTGCTGTATGTTTACGGAGGGAATGATTGACGATTCTTCTGCCAGCACAATTAATACCAGTAATTGTGCAAATTTCCTTTATGAAACTGGATAATTTGTTACGACCTAAATGACGGTTTGAGTACCAAACATCATCTGAATAATAATAATAATAATAATAATAAAATTGTAACAACATAAGCAAACAAAAAAAAAATAAATTAAATTATCATTATACCTGAATAGCTAATCAGTGGATGAAGAAAGAATTCTTCATTTGCATTAGGAGGCCGTTTTGAAATATAAAGTTTAATATCGGCTATCAGTCCATATTCGTCAAGTTCATCAGGTGGTATTATATGAGACTGATCTTTAGCTTTGTCATATGCACACCGATGGTGAAAATAACCACCCTGATGCGTTTTATCGTGGATCGTTACCAAATTGTATCCACCATCATCACGTGGAACAAAGTCATTTAATTTTATTTTATTATAGGAACCGCCCCGTCTTGCAGTAATGCACCCAATCCAAAGGAATACTCGAAAAAGAAGCCCCTGTGGGTTGTCCCGTGAAATTTGTGGATGATTAAAAATAATCCTCATTTCTTCATCCGTTAATGGATCAGCGCCTTGATACGACGTTAACTGTTCCAACTCTTTCATACGACTATGAAGTATATCACGAAATTCTTTGAACTCGAAATCCAAATGAATATTAACTGGTTGATGCTTAAAAGTTGTTTGCAAATAACGATTTATGGCGTTGATTCCAACGTATAAGGAATCGGAAGAATACTCTGTGTTATTTCGTGTTTTTATTTGAATGATGAATTCAGAAAGAAGGCCTGCGATGGCTACTTTATCTTCAGAAGTATTAAGGTCGAAATCAGGTTGAATATCGTTAATATAATCCTTGAATCGATTAGCCCACGTCATATTACTTTTTTGGGTATTTTGAGGTATGGCTTTTTTTTTGTATGATTGGAGCCTTTCTTGAGATGGCTTTTCAAATTTTTTACGAGTATTAGATGAATAGTCATAAGTTGAATAAAAATCAGTCGCTTTTATAAAAGAACGTTTCATTTTATTTTTTATTTTAGTATCGGTTTGAAAGAGAAGATATTTGAATTATTAATTAATTTGTCATCACTTTTATATAAAGGTTTAATTACGTACGAACTAATGACGTTTTTTATCATGTGAGAGGTCAGGGTATTATTACATATACTTATTACTAATCATAATCATACTTCCATCAATAATCGTATCACTAACCTAATTGCCTCATACTTATGTTTAATCAATGTAACTGGTTTGTCACATGCTTGATCGATTCGAGACAAAAGCTGCCTCGATACTCGCAGCTATTATCCATACCCAGAGTTTATTATGTGATAATTTAGTATGATGCAATGCCTCCGGAAAATATGCATCGGTTGGTGCGTCACATGCAATATAAAAATTATTTAAAAACATACTCAACTTTCACCAGGTTATCGTTCCAGAAATGCTCATTTTGCCGGAATAGGAGATATAAATTCCCGGTAATTTCTATAAAATCTTAGTATGCCTTATTCTGGAAAAATTAACGTAACTTGTGAAAGTCAGGGTATGTTTTTTAAAAATTTTTATAGGGAGTAATGGCTGAAAAAATTTAAAGATATTTGATCTGTTAAGTTACAGTAGAATTTCATTAAAAAAAATCAATGTAATTTTGCATATTAGTTAAGCTAAAAGATGCAATATAAAATTATATGTGTTTATATACGAAAATCGATACTTTTAAAAATTCGAACTTAGTATCGACCTTACATTTGATTCTGTTATGGGGTGAATGGTACGATTGATAATTTATACTCTGAAATATAGATTTTTATATAATATAAGGCAATTCGTCAGAGGTGTGACGTTGGAGATTTCGGTCATATAATATAAGGGAATTATTATAGGATGTGATACAGAATATTATATATAATAATAATGGTAATTGTAACGGTAAATCAGGTTTGCAAAAGGTAATATTAGTTATTTATTTGTGTGACATATCCTCTGACCGATAGATATAAATTCTGTAAACGTAAAAAAAAAGGTACACATGGCTAAACATGTTGCGATTATAGGTGCAGGTAAGATATTAACAAAAATTTAAAAAGCATTTTGAATATTTAAAAAAATATAATATTTTTCCAAATAAAATGATTTAATAAAATTTATATTAGGAATCTCCGGTTTAACAGCAATTAAACATTGTCTAAATAATGATTTGATTCCAATTTGTTTTGAACAAAATTCTTTTATTGGTGGAATATGGAGATATAAAGATGATTGTGAAAGTAATAAAGAATCTTATTCAATTTATAAAGGTGTTTTAACTAATACATCAAAAGAAATGGTATTATATTGATTTTAATTTTTGGTGAATCAAAATACAGTAATTGAATTCATAAAAGTAATCTATCTCTGTAATAGACGACGTTTTCTGATTTTCCAATTCCAGCTGACTGGCCGACTTATATGAATCATTCACTAATAGAAAAGTAAATCTTTTTTCAGTAAATTTATTTCTTATTGATGATTTTTCACGATTATTATTATTATTTTAATTATGTTGAAAATTAGATACATCGATATGTACGCTGAACATTTTAATCTTTTACCTCATATTAAATTTAATACTACCGTGTTAAAAGTATCAATTCTACCCGATAACCGTTGGAAAGTTAAATATATAATCCAAAGTGAAAATGTAGAAAAAGAAGAGGTTTTTGATTTTGTAATGGTTTGCTCTGGTCGCCATCGCAAACCTAAATTGCCCGAATTTAAAGGAATGGATTTATTTAAAGGTGAACAACTACATTCTTATAAGTATAAACGGTAAGTTTACAGTATTTATAGCTTACCTATTTATGTATACCAGTGTTTCAAAAGCCACTATACGCATCCCTTTTTGTTTTGTAAATGACCTTATGTTGAGATCACGATGATTACTTATTCAAGACATGTACATTTTTGCATACGTAAGCTCAACAAGGTCACTTAAAATAAAGGAAAGGACGCATATAAATAATGACATTGGCGAATTTGTGGAATCTGATCTTTACTAAAATATCTTAACACTTAATAAGATTAAACCTTACAAATCAGCTATGTAATACTAAAATATTAATGAGTAATATCGAGAAATAATGGGTTTCTCTTGGGATTATCCGTTTTTAGATTCCAAAATACTCCATAAATCCACCGAATTGACTTTTGAAACACTCATTATGTATATATTATTATAATTACTACAAATATTATATGTTTAGAGCTATAGATTTTGAAGATAAACGTGTTTTGGTTGTTGGTTGCGGTAATAGGTATTGTATGACTTAAACTGTGTAATTATAGAATTCATATAAAAATTCTTATTCACTAATTTAATTTAGTGCAATGGATATCGCGGTTGAGCTAACATATTCTGCATCACAAGTCTATTTAAGCATTCGTAGAGGTAAAATTTACATTTTTATATTTATTTTTATACATTAAATTATAATCTTTTTTTTTTCTTCTACAGAAAAACTTCCGTGGATAGTACCACGCTTCATAAATGGTAAAGCGCTTGATCATAATTTAACTCGTATCTCTGCATGTATTCCACTTTATATTAAAGGAAAATTTCTAGAAAACCATATTATTAAATCTTTTCCATTTCCCTCTCATTTAATGCCTACTGATCCTTTACTTGCTACATATTTTGCTATAAATTCTGAAATTTATCAGTGTCTCGCAGCTGGTACAATTATTGTAAAACCGAACATTAAAGGATTTAAATCTGAAAATAATCAAATTGAATTCGTTGATGGGACTTTTTTAGAGAATATTGATGTTGTTATATATTCTACTGGTTATAAATTTGATTATCCATTTTTAGAAAAACATATTTATACTGGTGGTGATGAAATTGAACAAGAATATGGAAATGAATTTCAT